GTCCACTTAGCTCCACGTCCTCCTGCACCACATCACTCCATCTCTTCTCTAGCCCGTGCCGCGCCCGTTTAGCCCCCTCAATCCGGCCAAACAAAAGCTGTTTCGGCATGCGGTGGCTGGGCATGCGGGCTACATGACCCAGCCATCGCAGCCTTGCCCGCCGGAGGAGCTCACCGATGGGACCCTGCCCAGATCTTTCAAGGATTTGTGAGCTCCTCACAAACATCACCAACATCACCATCATCACCATCATCACCAACATTAACATCAACACAATAATCATTACCCACATCATAATCATCAACATCATCATCTTCAACATCGCCGTCAACACCATCACCAACATCACCACCGTCGTGAACACCACCACCATCACCAACATCACCATCATCGTGAACACCACCACCACCATCACCAACATCACCACCATCGTGAACTCCACCACCATCACCAACATCATCAACATCATCATCGGCTTCACGGCGATGATCAACCCACACTAAGACTAAACTAAGTTGGATGTTACCAGGGTAACACACAACTTGATAGCCGCTCAACCAGGTGGCTTTCATCACAGACCCACAGAGACCCATACAGACCTACAGAGACTCATACTCACAGAGACCCATACAGACCCATACAGACCTACAGAGACTCATACTCACAAAGACCCATACAGACCCACACAGACCTACAGAGACCTACACAGAGACCCATACAGACCCACAGAGACCCACAGAGACTCATACTCACAGAGACCCACACAGACCTACACAGAGACCCATACAGACCCACAGAGACTCAGACTCACAGAGACCCATACAGACCCACAGAGACCCACACTCACAGAGACCCACACAGACCTTCAGAGACTCATACTCACAGAGACCCATACAGACCCACAGAGACCCACACTCACAGAGACCCATACAGACCCACACAGACCTACAGAGACTCATACTCACAGAGACCCATACAGACCCATACAGACCTACAGAGACACATACTCACAGAGACCCATACAGACCCACACAGACCTACAGAGACCTACACAGAGACCCATACAGACCCACAGAGACCCACAGAGACTCATACTCACAGAGACCCACACAGACCCACAGAGACCTACACAGAGACCCATACAGACCCACAGAGACTCATACTCACAGAGACCCACACAGACCCACAGAGACCTACACAGAGACCCATACAGACCCACAGAGACTCATACTCACAGAGACCCACACAGACCTACAGAGACCTACACAGAGACCCATACAGACCCACAGAGACCCACAGAGACTCATGCTCACAGAGACCCACACAGACCCACAGAGACTCATACTCACAGAGAACCAACACAGACCCACAGAGACCCATACAGACCTACACAGAGCCCATACAGACCCACAGAGATTCATACTCACAGAGACCCACAGACCCACAGAGACTCATACTCACGGAGACCCACACAGACCTACGGAGACCTACACAGAGACCCATACAGACCCACAGAGACCCACAGAGACTCATACTCACAGAGACCCACACAGACCCACAGAGACCCATACAGACCCACAGAGACTCATACTCACAGAGACCCATACAGACCCACAGAGACTCATACTCACAGAGACCCACGCAGACCTACAGAGACCTACACAGAGACCCATACAGACCCACAGAGACCCACAGAGACTCATACTCACAGAGACCCACAGAGACTCATACTCACAGAGAACCAACACAGACCCATAGAGACCCATACAGACCTACACAGAGACCCATACAGACCCACAGAGACTCATACTCACAGAGACCCATACAGACCAACAGAGACTCATACTCACAGAGACCCACGCAGACCTACAGAGACCTACACAGAGACCCACACAGACCCACAGAGACTCATACTCACAGAGAACCAACACAGACCCACAGAGACCCATACAGACCTACACAGAGACCCATACAGACCCACAGAGACTCATACTCACAGAGACCCATACAGACCCACAGAGACTCATACCTACAGAGACCTACACAGAGACCCATACAGACCCACAGAGACCCACAGAGACTCATACTCACAGAGACCCACACAGACCCACAGAGACTCATACTTATAGAGACCCATACACACCCACACAGACACATACACACCTACAGACACCCACAAAGAGACCCATACAGACCCACAGAGACCCACACAGACCCACAAAGACTCATACTCACAGAGACCCACACAGACCCACAGAGACTCATACTCACAGAGACCCATACACACCCACAGAGACCCATACACACCTACAGAGACTCAAACACACACACAGAGACCCACACAGAGACCCATACAGACCCACAGAGACCCACAGAGACCCATACCCAGAGAGACCCATACAGACCCACAGAGACCCATACTCATACAGACCCATACATAGACCCACACTCACAGAGACTCATACTCATAGAGACCCATACACACCCACATAGACCCACAGAGACCCATACTCAGAGACCCATACAGATTCAGAGACCCACAGAGAGAGACGCAGGCTTCAAATATACAGCTGCAGTAGCAGCAGCAGGCATCGTCAGGGTCAGGATTGAACCCACGACCTCCTGTATACCAGGCGAGGTAGTTAATATCTCCTAGCCACCGTGATGATGGTGATGATGAGAGAGAGAGACGCAGACTCCAAATATACAGCAGCAGCAGCAGCAGGCATCGTCAGGGTCGGTATTGAACCCATTCGCCTCCTGTATACCAGGCAAGGTAGTTAACATCTCCTAGCCACCGTGATGATGGTGATGATGAGAGAGAGAGACGCAGACTTCAAATATACAGCAGCAGCAGGCATCGTCAGGGTCAGGATTGAACCCACGACCTCCTGTATACCAGGCGAGGTAGTTAACATCTCCTGGCCACCAGTAGTACCAACAAGATCATCATCACCATCATCATCGTGGTTGTCACCACCGCGATCAATTGTGGACAATCATTTGGGCCGCCCGTTGAGTTAACCGCGTACTTGTTATAAACATACGGTTACCATCATCAGCAGTGATACCATCATCATCATCAGTGGTAGCATCATCATCATCGGCAGCAGCAGCAGTGGTAGCATGATCATCAGCAGTGGCATCAATACCACCAGCGCGACATCCAATCATCACCACCACCATCATTATCACCACCACCATCACCACCACCACCATCACCACCACCATCACCACCACCACCATCACCACCACCACCACCATCACCACCACCACCACCATCACCACCACCATCACCACCACCATTATCACCACCATCACCACCACCATCACCACCACCATTATCACCACCATCACCACCACCATCACCACCACCACCATCACCACCACCACCACCATTATCACCACCACCATCACCACCGTCACCATCACCACCGTCACCATCACCACCACCACTACCACCCCAACCACCACCACAACGACCACCACCACAACCACCACCACAACCACCACCACCACCACCACAACCACCACCACAACCACCACCACAACCACCACGACCACCACAACCACCACCACCACCACAACAACCACCACCACAACCACCACCACAACCACCACCACAACCACCACCCCAACCACCACAACCACCACCACAACCACCACCCCAACCACCACAACCACCACAACCGCGTGGCTTTTATTTGGTGTCGTGCGCGGTGCTTTTAACGCCACAGCGCCGCGGATTTGTAGCGCGATTGTTTTAGTCGTGCTGCTGGTGACTTTGTGCGTATCGTGACGGAATCGTCAAAGTCAAAAGTCTCTCTCTGTCTCGCCGAGAGAGGTGGAACAGGTGGGGATTAGTCCACTCTCTGTGTGTGTGTGTGTGTGGACTAAATCCCATCTGTTCCACGCACAGATGGGGATGAGGCCACACTCTGTGTGTGTGTGTATCATCATTCCACTCTTCAAGTAAGGCGACTCCGGCCATAGTGAACACTACCCAAACCCACACGGCCATCGTGAACCCTACCCACACGGCCATCGTGAAACCCACCCACCCACACGGCCACCGTGAACCCCACCCACCCACACGGCCACTGTGAACCACACCCACCCACACGGCCATCGTGAACCCCACCCACCCACACGGCCATCCTGAACCCTACCCACAAGGCCATCGTGAACCCCACCCACCCACACGGCCATCTTGAACTCCACCCACCCACACGGCCATCTTGAACCCCACCCACACGGCCATCCTGAACCCCACCCACCCACACGGCCACCGTGAACCCCACCCACCCACACGGCCATCTTGAACTCCACCCATCCACACGGCCATCCTGAACCCCACCCACCCACACGGCCATCGTGAACCCCACCCACCCACACGGCCATCGTGAACCCCACCCACCCACACGGCCATCTTGAACTCCACCCATCCACACGGCCATCTTGAACCCCACCCACACGGCCATCTTGAACCCCACCCACCCACACGGCCATCCTGAACCCTACCCACCCACACGGCCATCCTGAACCCCACCCACCCACACGGTCATCGTGAACCCCACCCACCCGGCCATCCTGAACCCCACCCACCCACACGGCCACCGTGAACCCCACCCACCCACAAGGTGACCGTGAACCCCACCCACCCACACGGCCATCCTGAACCCCACCAACCCATACGGCCATCCTGAACCCCACCCACCCACACGGCCACCATGAACCCCACCCACCCACAAGGTTACCGTGAACCCCATCCACCCACACGGCCATCGTGAACCCCACCCACAAGGCCATCGTGAACCCCACCCACAAGGCCATCTTGAACCCCACCCACCGTGAACCCCACCCACCCACACGGCCACCGTGAACCCCACCCACCCACCGTGAACCCCACCCACCCACACGGCCACCGTGACCCCCACCCACCCCACCCACCCACCGTGAACCCCACCCACCCCACCCACCCCACCCACCCCACCCACCCCTCAGCTCTTCTTGAAGATGGCCGCCAGCAAGGTCTTCCCCTCTGCCTGCAGCATCTCGTGCAGCGCCGGCGGTGCCGGGGAGGCCCCCCCGGCCCCTCCGCCCCCCCCGGCCCCCCCCCACAGGGAGGAGAGGACCCCCAGCTGCTGCAGCGCTCCTGGGGGGCTCCTGGCGGCGGTGCCGCGTCGGTGCTTCTCCTTCAGCTGCTGGCTGATCACCGCGTGCATGTCGTCCTGCGGGGGCGCGGGGGCACGGAACGACGGACGCCGGGGGTGGCGGGGAGGGGGGGGAGGGGAGGGGGGGCAAAGCGGGTCAAGGCGAGCGGTGGCGGTGGTGGCGGTGGAGGCGGTGGTGGAGGCGGTGGAGGCGGCGGTGGAGGCGGTGGAGGCGGTGGAGGCGGCGGTGGAGGCGGTGGAGGCGGTGGAGGCGGTGGTGGCGGTGGAGGCGGTGGAGGCGGTGGTGGCGGTGGAGGCGGCGGTGGAGGCGGTGGTGGAGGCGGTGGAGGCGGCGGTGGAGGCGGCGGTGGAGGCGGTGGAGGCGGTGGTGGAGGCGGTGGAGGCGGCGGTGGAGGCGGTGGAGGCGGTGGAGGCGGTGGTGGCGGTGGAGGCGGTGGTGGCGGTGGTGGCGGTGGTGGCGGTGGTGGCGGTGGTGGCGGTGGAGGCGGTGGTGGCGGTGGTGGCGGTGGTGGCGGTGGTGGCGGTGGTGGCGGTGGAGGCGGTGGAGGCGGTGGTGGCGGTGGAGGCGGTGGTGGAGGCGGTGGTGGCGGTGGTGGCGGTGGTGGCGGTGGTGGCGGTGGTGGCGGTGGAGGCGGTGGTGGCGGTGGTGGCGGTGGTGGCGGTGGAGGCGGTGGAGGCGGTGGTGGAGGCGGTGGAGGCGGTGGAGGCGGTGGAGGCGGTGGAGGCGGTACGCCGCACGTAGCGGGCGCACACAGAGTAAGGGGGCGGGCCATGAATGACGTCGCGAGAATTTGGACGATTTTTTGACCCCCCCCCCCGCCGCCGCCCCCGCCTCATCACACGGCGTCACTAAAAGTCAGACCCCCTCCGATATGACGTCACGAAAAGTCAGACACACCCCCTCAAATATGACGTCACTAAAAGTCAGACACACCCGCCCCCCTCAGACATGACGTCACATAAAGTCAGACACACCCACCCCCCTCAGATATGACGTCACTAAAAGTCAGACCCCCCCCTCAGATATGACGTCACAAAAAGTCAGACACACCCCCCCTCAGATATGACGTCACAAAAAGTCAGACACACCCACCCCCCTCAGATATGACGTCACTAAAAGTCAGACCGACCCCCCCACAAATATGACGTCACTAAAAGTCAGACCCCCCCTCAAATATGACGTCACAAAAAGTCAGAAACACCCCCTCAAATATGACATCACAAAAAGTCAGACACACCCACCCCCCTCAGATATGACGTCACAAAAAGTCAGACACCCACCCCCCCCCTCTCAGATAAGACGTCACAGAAAGTCAGACCCACCCACCCCCCTCTCAGATATGACATCACAAAAAGTCAGACACACCCGTCCCCTCAGATATGTCACAAAAAGTCAGACCCACCCCCCCCCCCTCAGATATGACGTCAAAAAAAGTCAGACACACCCCCTCCCCTCAGATATGACGTCACAAAAAGTCAGACACACCCCCTCAAAATATGACGTCAAAAAGTCAGACACCCCCCCTCAGATATGACGTCACAAAAAGTCAGACACCCCCTCAGACATGACGTCACAAAAAGTCAGACACCCCCCCTCAGACATGACGTCACAAAAAGTCAGACACCCCCCCTCAGACATGACGTCACAAAAAGTCAGACACACCCCCTCAAATATGACGTCAATAAGTCAGACACACACCCCCCCTCAAATATGACGTCACAAAAAGTCAGACACACCCCCCCTCAGATATGACGTCACAAAAAGTCAGACAACCCCCCCCCCCCTCAGACATGACGTCACAAAAAGCCAGACACACCCCCCTCAAATATGACGTCACAAAGCTCTGCCCACCCCCCCCCCCCCCAAAAATAAATAAAAACCACATGTTTCAAATCGCTTTAAACTATCGTCATTGTCGTGCGTATTTAATGCGGCGCTGCACTCTGATGTTGCAGGAGAAAACATTTATTAAGAAGTCCATTTAATTAAGTAGAACGTGTTGCCTACGTTTATTTATAAAGTTGCGCATTTCGATGTGACGTCACGTGTCTCAAACCCCACCCCCCCCACCACCCTCGTCACACGTCGTCACAAATGTTTGACCACACCCCCCCCTCCCCCCCAGGTGCGTGACGTCATTTATGGACGGACCCCTAGGTACATACGGGTAGGTACAGGTAGGTAGACACAGGTACGTACAGGTACACGCACGGGTACGTAGAGGCACAGTTACACACACACACAGGTACGTAGAGGCACAGCTACACACACACACAGGTACGTAGAGGCACAGTTACACACACACACACAGGTACGTAGAGGCACAGCTACACACACACACACAGGTACGTAGAGGCACAGTTACACACACACACAGGTACGTAGAGGCCCAGTTACACACACACACAGGTACGTAGAGGCACAGTTACACACACACACAGGTACGTAGAGGCACAGTTACACACACAGGTACGTAGAGGCACAGTTACACACACACACACAGGTACGTAGAGGCACAGCTACACACACACACAGGTACGTAGAGGCACAGCTACACACACACACACACAGATACGTAGAGGCACAGCTACACACACACACAGGCACGTAGAGGCACAGTTACACACACACACAGGTACGTAGAGGCACAGTTACACACACACACAGGTACGTAGAGGCCCAGCTACACACACACACAGGTACGTAGAGGCACAGTTACACACACACACACAGGCACGTAGAGGCCCAGCTACACACACACACAGGTACGTAGAGGCACAGCTACACACACACACAGGTACGTAGAGGGCCAGTTACACACACAGGCACGTAGAGGCACAGCTACACACACACAGGCACGTAGAGGCACAGCTACACACACAGGTACGTAGAGGCACAGTTACACACACACACACAGGCACGTAGAGGCACAGTTACACACACACACAGGTACGTAGAGGCACAGCTACACACACACACACACACAGGCACGTAGAGGCCCAGTTACACACACACAGGTACGTAGAGGCACAGCTACACACACACACAGGCACCTAGAGGCACAGCTACACACACACACACAGGTACGTAGAGGCACAGCTACACACACACACAGGCACGTAGAGGCACAGTTACACACACACACACAGGTACGTAGAGGCACAGCTACACACACACAGGTACGTAGAGGCACAGTCACACACGCACGGATACGTAGAGGCGCAGCTACACACACACACAGGCACGTAGAGGCACAGTTACACACACACACAGGTACGTAGGGGCCCAGTTACACACACACAGGTACGTAGAGGCACAGTTACACACACAGGTACGTAGAAGCACAGTTACACACACACAGGTACGTAGAGGCACAGCTACACACACACACACAGGTACGTAGAGGCACAGCTACACACACACACACAGGCACGTAGAGGCACAGTTACACACACACACACAGGTACGTAGAGGCCCAGCTACACACACACAGGTACGTAGAGGCACAGTTACACACACACACAGGTACGTAGAGGCACAGTTACACACACACACAGGTACGTAGGGGCCCAGTTACACACACACAGGTACGTAGAGGCACAGTTACACACACAGGTACGTAGAAGCACAGTTACACACACACAGGTACGTAGAGGCACAGCTACACACACACACACAGGTACGTAGAGGCACAGCTACACACACACACACAGGCACGTAGAGGCACAGTTACACACACACACACAGGTACGTAGAGGCACAGTCACACACGCACGGATACGTAGAGGCGCAGCTACACACACACACAGGCACGTAGAGGCACAGTTACACACACACACAGGTACGTAGGGGCCCAGTTACACACACACAGGTACGTAGAGGCACAGTTACACACACAGGTACGTAGAAGCACAGTTACACACACACAGGTACGTAGAGGCACAGCTACACACACACACACAGGTACGTAGAGGCACAGCTACACACACACACACAGGCACGTAGAGGCACAGTTACACACACACACACAGGTACGTAGAGGCCCAGCTACACACACACAGGTACGTAGAGGCACAGTTACACACACACACAGGTACGTAGAGGCACAGTTACACACACAGGTACGTAGAGGCACAGTTACACACACACACAGGTACGTAGAGGCACAGTTACACACACACACAGGTACGTAGAGGCACAGTTACACACACACACAGGTACGTAGAGGCACAGTTACACACACACACAGGTACGTAGAGGCACAGTTACACACACAGGTACGTAGAGGCACAGTTACACACACACACAGGTACGTAGAGGCACAGTTACACACACACACAGGTACGTAGAGGCACAGTTACACACACAGGTACGTAGAGGCACAGTTACACACACACACAGGTACGTAGAGGCACAGTTACACACACACACAGGTACGTAGAGGCACAGTTACACACACAGGCACGTAGAGGCACAGTTACACACACACACAGGTACGTAGAGGCACAGTTACACACACACACAGGTACGTAGAGGCGCAGTTACACACACACACAGGTACGTAGATGCACAGTTACACACACACACAGGTACGTAGAGGCGCAGTTACACACACACACACAGGTACGTAGAGGCCCAGTTACATACACACACACAGGTACGTAGAGGCACAGCTACACACACACACAGGTACGTAGAGGCACAGCTACACACACACACACACAGGTACGTAGAGACCCAGTTACACACACACACACACAGGTACGTAGAGACCCAGTTACACACACACACAGGCACGTAGAGGCACAGCTACACACACACAGGTACGTAGAGGCCTAGTTACACACACACACACAGGTACGTAGAGGCACAGCTACACACACACACAGGTACGTAGAGGCACAGCTACACACACACACAGGTACGTAGAGGCACAGTTACACACACACACACAGGTACGTAGAGGCCCAGTTACACACAGGCACGTAGAGGCACAGCTACACACACACAGGTACGTAGAGACACAGTTACACACACACACAGGCACGTAGAGGCA